ACTTTATATTGCTTGTAAGTTTGTAAAACTTTAGTATATAAATCATTGTTTGTAATAACTGTTATAGTAAATTGTGTTATTGTTTGTATATTAAAACATATTTGTATTAAAAAACAAAACTAAGTGTATCAATCTTGTTGGCAAATAAATTGGAGATATATCAACAAATGTTCAACTACTAAATCTAAGTTGCAATTTAAAGTTACATTTGAAACATAACATAATAAATTGGGGGCTCGTGTCCGAGATCTGTATCGGAGACAAAATTCAATCTAAATTAAAATTCAAATCATAATTAAATTTATATCTATCAGTGCCAACAGATTTGATCATGTCTGATTATCAAGATTTTCTTGAATCACCCTTCCTCAAACAACTAGAAAAATATAACAAAAATGAATTGCTCGAAATTGCCAAAGTTTTAGAACTAGAAGTTAAAAGGTCAATGAGAAAAAGTTAACTAAAAAAGCATATTATCAAAATACTAATCGATGATGATTTGTTGCCTGAAAAAGCATTGGAGGAATAATCTAGTGTACACACTAGCTAATCAGGGTTGAGTGATAAAGATAAGTTAGAGATCCAGCTAAAACTGAAACAACTCGAGCTTGAACAAGCTCGTACTGGAGCTGAAAGAGAAAATAAATGTCTTGAGGCTGAGTAAGCTCAAATTGAAGCCAAGAAATAAGAATCTCGAATTGAAGCCGAGAAAGAACAAGCTTGTATTGAAGCTGAAAGAGAAAATACATGTCTCGAGGCCGAGAAAGCTCACATTGAAGCCGAAAAAGAAATTTGGCTGAAAGAAATGGAAATTAGACTCAACTCCGATCAAACAAGGCAAAATGACAACTTTGAACTTAACTGATATGATAAAGTACCAAGTATTATTACAAAGTGTCTCAACTGGTAAAGCACAAGAAGCTTATGCCACTCTCTCTCTCTGGAAGATTGAAGGAATTATGATAAGGTTAAAGCAGTTATTCTCAAAGCATATGAGTTAGTACCAGAGGCTTATTGCCAAAAGTTGAGGTTATTGCAAACAAGATAATCAAACTTATATGGAATTTGCCCACGAAGAAGAGGTTTATTTTGATTGATGGTGTAATTCTATGCATATTGGCAATAGTTTCGACAAGCTAAGACAATTATGCCTAATTAAGGAATTTCAACGTTGTGCACATGAAGACCTCAAACTTACTTGGATGAAAAGAAAGTTGAAACACTACAGGAAGCAGCTGCTCTTTCCCTCTTTCCAATGATTATACTTTAACACATAAAACAACTTTTCATAAAAAGATATTCTTACCATCTCAACAAAAACTTGTATCACTTCAATCCACTAAAGTTGAGGATCCTTCTAAAAAATCCAGCTCCTCTAGTTCAAAATCTTCATATGGTTGGCCTAAAACTTCATCGAAACAATCAAGTCCTGTCTGCCATTTTTGTAAAAAACCTGGTCATGTTATGTCCGATTGTTGGCGTTTGGAAAAGAAAAGGAAGTAACACCCAGTGCATTTGTGCCCACACATGGACATAGTTTCACCAGATAACTCGATGTTATTGATTTGGCCACTGATATAATCAGGGAGGAATTTAGACCTTTTGTGTCTGTTGGTTCTGTGTCTTTGACAAATGACACTGGCAATCTCATACCCAAACATATTCTATGTGATACTGGGGCAACTCAATCATTGTTGTTAGAAGGTATATTGCTTTTAGATTTGAGTTCTGCCACTTGTGAGTCTGTTATTGCTCAGGGTATTGAGGGTGGCTTTGTTAATGTTCCTCTTCATAATATTTATTTAGCATAAGACCTAGTTTCAGGACCAGTTGTGGTTGGAGTAAGACCTACTCTGCTAATTAAGGGTGTATCATTATTGTTGGGAAATGATTTGGCTGTGGGAAAAGTTGTTGCCGAACCTAAAATGGTTAATGAGCTGATCACCGTTTCATCTAAGGATGACGTTTTCATTGAGTAGAATGCTGTGACTCGAGCTCAGTCTAAGAAATTAAGCCACAAACAGATGATAGACCTGGATTCAGAGGACAATATTATAGATTTGTCCAGCATCAGACTGGAGGACATCTCACCAACAGAACTTCAACGCTCTACTCTCAACTGAATGGATTAATTATTGTTTGTATCGTATATCACTATCACATTCAGGAGGATGCCTTCATCGTCCACCACCCCAGTGGCTTGGAACTGGAAAGTGGTAAGGACTCCCATACTCCATTGGAAGAAGAAAGGGGAGAAAATGTGGTAAAGAGTCTGGGGGGGGGGGAAGTCAACACCAGAGAGAGTGCAACATGTGACCATGAAAACCCTATTTTATAAAGCAGGCCACTCCTGATTTATTCAATCTAAGGAATGGCAGGAATGGGCAGCTATCCCCCTTCTACTTTACTCATGAAGTCTATAGGTGAGTACAGTCCAGAACTGGAATATTAATAAAGCAAATATATGTTGCAAGAAAAACCTACTCCCTACTGGTAAAGACTCCCAAATTCCACTGGAAGAAAAAGGGGGAGAAAATATGGTGGAGAGTCTGGGGGAATGTCAACACCAGAGACAGTGCAACAAGGGTCCATGAAAACCCTATTTTGAAATGCAGCCCACTCCTGATTTATTCAATCTAAAGAATGGCAGGGAATAGCAGCTATCCCCCCTCTACTTTACTCATGAAGTTCATGAGTGAGTATGGTCCAGAACTGGAATATTAATGAAGCAAATATGTATCATAAGAAAAACCTATGAGCAATCTTGTGGAACACCACATCTCAACAGTGTGCATTTAGTGGCCATGAAAATTATAAATATTAAGTCATCATGTTTGTGAAGATTTGACTAGTTTAAGTATACCTGAACAGATACTGCTTGCCCCTGATATACAAGAGGTATATATACAAAAGAAAACTTACCAAGTCACAGTCTCACTGAAGTCTGAATAATGGCAACAGGTGGAAAACAATAACCCGATCCGATGCAGATAGTGAGAGATGAATATATATGTGGTGTGGTCCATATATTCAAATGAAGAATTTCCTCCAATGGATGAAGGAGATGAGACACAAGGGAAATGTAAGGTGCCTAATCTGGTGAGAAGACACATGGAACAAATTATGGGAAGAAGAAACAAGGAAATATAAGCCAATCAAATTAAAAGCAGAACTCAATTGGTAAGAATGGAAGGAGAAAGGTCAGGAACAGAAGATAGCTGCCACAGAATGAAGAGGCCGGAATGGGTACCACAGAAGGAAGCCATGTGGGCAATATAACAACAAAGAGCATTTAATGGACATAGTTGTCTATCTGGATCAGAATGGGAATATAGGTGGGAAATGGAAGGAAGGGAAGTCAACAAGAAGGAGGAATTACCCTCATGAGTCACCGAAGTTTTGGGAAGGAAAGATCAATCTGAATAAAGGAAGACATAAGTGGAATGATATAGCATGTGAAATATCGATGGCAAATAAATCCGACTGACAACATCCAAAGGCCAAGAGGAGAAAGAAATGTCTTATTTGATAAGTGAAAAATCAAACATGAGTACAGAAGTTCAAATGGAGGTAAAGTAAGGCAATGAAGAACCACATTGACATCCCACTCTGAAAGGACTGAGCACCAAGGAAGACGACGAATCTGGAAGGAAAGCAACATTAGTGAAAGAGTAGGAGAAGTAAAAACTTTACCGTACTGAGAAAAACAAAAAGTGTGGGATAAAGCAGTCCAATAACCCACAATTGAGGAGACTGAAGTCCTTCGATCAAACAGTCAATTGAGGAAATCCGTAAGAAGAGGAACAGTGGGTAGAGCAGATGAAAACCCCTGACCCAAAGAGGAATAGTGGAAAATGTTCCATTTATTTTGGTAAACATCCACAGAGGAATGCCAAATGGAATGTGCTAAAAACAAAGTGACAATCTGGATCTCCTCGTCAAGTACCGGATAAAAACCAGACACAAAGATGGAGGATATGAATGGCTGGATGAAATGCTAGGGACCAAGGTTGATGTACAAGGGATGGAATAAAAGGAAGAGGTAATGGTGGGGCAGATTGGAGCTGAAGCAGCTGCGAAAACCACGGTTTTGCCTGCCAGTAAGAAGCAATCAGAAGGACTTGACATGGAGTGGTGTGAATGATCAAAATCACCATGGAAAAAAGATAGATGGGAGGATAGACATAAATGTATTTGTTGGTCCAATCCTGGCTGAATGCATCAACAGACAATGCAAGTGGTTGAGGAACCGGATACCCAAACAGAGGTAACTTGGAATTGAGGGATGTGGCAAATGCATCCAGGTGAAGAGTAACCCACCAAAGGCACAGCCATTGGAAAATGAGAAGATTGAGAGAGCACTTCATCCAATAAAATTTGTCACTAGGTTTGATCACAAAGGGAAAGAGAACAGGTGCCAACTTGGTGATTGATTTTAGATACCACAGCAGAATTGTTGGAATAGATCATGACCAAAAATTCCTGACAAGACGAAGAAAATGATCCAAAGTATGATGTATGGCCAGAAGCTCCAAGATGTTGATACAGCAAGATCTCTTGGCCAGAGTTCACATACCTGAAGATTCCTGCAGATTGACCCACATTTGAAGTTTTGCAAATCTAGACAAGGATGAGGAAGTGGAACACCCACTGATGTGTGTGCCTTGTTGAACCACCAATGTAGATTGTCCACAAGGAAAGGAGAAGGGAAATAGGAGCTTCCAAGGGATTTAGTGAAAGTTCCAATGGTTGTGCAGAGCCCACTAAAGAGACCTTATATGTGCTTAACCCAAGAAGATAAGTGCTTCCATAGAAGACCACATCCTCAAAAGTGATAGAACTGCACAAGCAGTAAAGGCATGGAGAACTGAAAGCTCCTTTGAATGGAGTCGAAGAGGAGAAGGTTGGGCCCGACTGAGATGTGTGTCGAAAGGGACACCCATTTTTTGTGGACAAGATATTGGGTAGGTATAAGGAATGACTTCTCCAACTTCAGTAATCAACCCACATGAGCTGCCTCCAAAAGCAGCAGATGAGTGTAATGGGTGGACTCCCATATAGAACAAACTAACAGAAGCCAGTCATCCATATAATGTTGTTAACGCAACCCCCAAGCATACATGTGTCACTCAACAAAAACATATGGGGCCAAAGCAAGCCTGAAGGATAGGGTGCAAAATTCATTCTTTACACTGTGATGAACAAACCAAAGATAGTGTCTCGAGAGACAAGACATTGGAATATGCAGATAAGCCTTTGTGACATCTACCTTGGTTATCCATAGATCTGGAGAAAAAGCCCACCTAAGAGTGAGGAAATACTCCATGGTACGTCAGGGAAACCAAAAATTGATTAAGGCGGGTCAGATAAACCACAGGCCGCCAGTTCCTTTTTTTTTTGGGGGGGGGGGGGGTACCACAGACAGCCTGGAATAAAAACCCGGAGAAGGCTGAGTTACAGGTTCAATGGCTTTCTGATAGAGACGATTTTGTACTGCCTCGGATAGATGTTGACTGATGATAGGATCCCAAGACAATGAAAAGGATATGTGTACTGGAAATAATGAAGGAGGGGAAAGGAAGAGGATGACAAGTCCCTCGGATAATACTCAAATAACTCAAAGATCTGTGGCAAAATCTCACCACAGGGAACAAAATTGGTTAAGCAAGCCTTCACTGGAGGAGAACCCACATGGTAGTCACCGGTTCTGTTGGAAACATGTCCATCTGCACTGAATAATATGATGAGAGGGGGAACCCCTAGAGGTAGGAACTGATAATGACTGGGACAGCTCTGGACAAGAAACAGTAATAGTCTAGGCTCTGAATGAGACAAATAATCACCACCAAAGATGAAAGGGTCGATTGCTGTCTCATGAATTCCACAAGGGATTCCAAAGTCCCAGGAATATTTCTGAAAACAGTTTACTGGAAAAAAGGGGCCCACACTTAGCTTCTGGAAATACATATGTGGTAAATGAACTCGGGACAATATAGCGTCCCTCCCCAGAAGATCCCAACAACAGAGAACGTGTGTAAGGAAAAAGCAGAAGAAGACATATGCCAATGTTGAGGTAATCAGGAGAGAGGGTATCCTTCAAAAAACCCTCACGATCAGGGGGAGTGCCTCAGAAAAGATGTGGATAGTGGAAAAGTACTGTAGGAGAGTCAATAGTGTAAAACAAAGGTGGGAAAACAGCATGGGATAAACAAACAGGATTATCTGGGTCTGCCCCTCCCCACAAGGGCAAAATCGATTCCAACTGTTGAGAATCAAGCAACAGAAATTCAGCCTGATGACAAGCTAAAGCAAACTTATCCGAAGACCATGGAGGGTGAATCATGCTAGCACCCTCACGCATCTGAAATACAAACAGTCTGGATGAACCCTAATATCTGGGGAAAGGGTAAACACAAAATACTGAGAGGAGGGGGTGTATCATGTATGAAGGAAGGAAGGAGATTATAAGAAATTGGGGAAATGAATAAAAGAGAACACACCTGAGAGATCATGTCCAAAGAAGCCGTATTAGGTCTAGCTGATTCTGTAGTTGAGGCTAAAGAAAACACAGCAAAATCAAGTGGAAAAAAAAAGGCTGTCAAATTCCTCGTCATCCTGAACAGGTTTGGCACGTACGGGAGGAAAATGGGCAACATCAGGAGAAAAGAAGGTTGACATATATATAAAGATCAATCTCACAGCAGACGAGGGAGCTCTAGGCTTGTGTCATATGAAAAATTTTTTTGCATAGAGAGGACAGCACTGAACAGGAATAGCTATTTATGTGAGAGAAGATAATGTACCACATTGAAAAACATTAGTTAACAGCTACATCCACTTCAAATAGTTCAAAATGGTAGACATTTACAATTATTGACAAAGACATTCCACATGTGCAGTAGTGTCATCTGACTGGGATTCAATATCTTTTCACTAGAAGAAATTCTAAATTCTAATAAGAAAAGTAATTTTGATATGAAAATGATTGTAATAATGTAAATATTTTTTTTAATTAATACTTTTTCCTGAATTCTCATTACCTGAAAAATATATTTCAGTGTATTTCAAACCTTCATCATAATAAAGCTACTAAGAAAAAAAATAATTCAATTTAAAATAAATTTATTTCAAGCTAATTAAAGTAATAATGAAAGTTAGAATATGTATAAGTAGCACTGTAAATTTAAAAATAATATCATAATCATTACTATAGATCAAGGAAATCTTACAGCTTCATGTTCTTTTTCCAAAGCAGCAGTTGTGGGATCCATCTCAGCATAGGTCTGAAATTTAATAAAAAATCACATATCTGATTTTGTTCTGCTTTCAATCATTTTAAGTGTGGCCAAAAAAAACAATTACAATATGCAGTTAGAATTACCAATGGAAGAGAAATCTAACATAAATTAACAAGACAGGTACCTGATGATGACAAAACCTTGTCGAAACATTGTACATTTGCTGTTATGTTAAACTTGTATTAAAGTTTTTTTTCA